TCCGTACAATATTCCTCCAAAAGTTCTTTCTGTACTTGATAGCCGTGCCTAGCGTAGTTCGGCTTGAAGGGGGCATTTCGCTGGTTTCCATCGATCACTATCGATGCCTCCTGCGCATAGCTGTTGAATCCGAAGCTATGCAAGCAGGAGCTTCGTTCGCAGATCTCACCAAGCTGAGGCGTCTACCTTAACAGATTCAACAAGAGAAACTAGCAGAAGTGCAAAATGCCCTCTTAAAGCCGAACAGCGCCGCCATGCCAATAAGTTGGTTAACGTTCGTCTTAAGAATTTGGAAACCCATCAGTCCGAAATACTCTGCTTGGTTCTATGTGAAGATCGTATACATGCAGCTGGTGTTGATCCGAGAATAATAAGCATCAAGCACATAGTGAGGTTTCATTTCTTTGAAGTGAGCACTTTGCCACATGACCGACCTGAGAAATTTAGGCAGGAAATGATTTCCGTGTTGTACAACAGCGTAATGGTCCGATAAGAGATGTCCGAGCAATGGCGTCTTTTGATGGAAAGGTGCATAGCTCAATCCCCACTTATAGTGTATTTCGCTGCGGACGGTTGGGCGTGTCATTCGGAATGAGTTTGGCGCGGTGCCAAACCCGTTCCCAAAGCGAGCAAATGATATGACTGTATCATATCGTTCGTATTACTCGTTTTCTACCACTTTTTGTCGCATGCGCGCTTCAACAAGAAGGCGGTTTTGACGGGGTGACACACTCATACTGCCTGACACGCCCAACGTCCGCAGCGAACCAGAGTGTATCCTTTTTCAGTTCTTATTATTTACTTTATTGCTGTTATTCAATGCAGTGAATTTACTACGAAATCATACTTTTAGGTGTATGCTGCGGGAGAAGACCACGCGATCTTCGTAGCGAAAAGTGGCTGCCAAGTCTTGGCGAGTCAGTGGAATGTAAGGAGCAGTTATATCCATGGTCTCAAATCATTACAGTCCTGTTCACTGCGGATGCTGGGGCATTTCAAGGGAGCTGGTTTTGACGCGGCGCCAGCTTGTTCGCTCTGATTGTGGAAGCTGGCAGGCGGCTGCAAATGGTGGAAACTGGCTGGCGCTGCGCTAAACTGAGCACCCCTCCCCCCCCCCCCCCCCGATTGAAATGCGCCAGTTTTTTTTTTTTTTTTTTTCGCCGAGCCTGAAATATGACTGTCATTAGTTGACTATAATGGCTCATGATGAATGGCGCAATTACTGAAACAAATTCAGAAACTTTTGTGCCTCGGAGGTTCACTGGCGATGTGTCGAGGTCAGAATTTTGTTGATATTTGGACGAGTGGAGCAGGCGAGGAGAAAACTTCATCGGGTGAAGTGGTGGTTAAGAGACAGCCCCTTTATCTTGCACGGGTCTACTGCCCAGAGAAGAAACCATTAGTTGCCTGGTAATTATTGGTTTTTAATATTGAAAAGAAGCGACTTCTCCATTCTTGTTGTTTTCGAAGAGTTATACTTTATGACTTTGTTTGTAACTGTTCCGAAAACGCTCGTAAGTGATTATATTTAGCTGCACCAGACACCCCACTTTTATTTAAAGAGCGGCTCTGGGTCCAAATAAACCCAACATCATTTTCCTTGCACGCGCGTCCACTGCAAGCTGCTCTAGTCTAGGATTTGTTGAAGGTTTGATGCACTTGATATCGTCGCCATCCGTCAAGGTGGTATCGAAGGGCATGGAATTAGCCACCCGCGGCACTTTTCAACACTCATTATTTCCTTCCTGGATCAATCATCAGTGGTGAGATGAGGCTGCTGAAGGCGGCCTGATTCCGCCCTCGCTGACGCCGTCCAAACAGATTGCTACGAGATCACCTATATGAACGATCCAAAGATTGAAATCCTGTCTGATGCAGTTTGAGGGCCCTTACCCCTTTGGTCTACTTGCCTGTTTTCTTTGCTCTGGGGAGCTCCTAGCGCTCATGTTCATGTTTCCCATTTTCGAGAAACGCAGTAATTGGACTCATGCCGGTTTCCACGTTTTGTCTGCATCCCCTGATTCGAACATGCATTTATATTGTGGTTATATCCGAGATTAATTTGTATTTTCTTTCGTTACTCTGTAACCGACAAATTCCTTTCAAAAACGACCAGCTGGTTCCAGTGACTTGTCGGCTGATGGACGATTCGTTGCTATTTCATCTACTGATTCGACAACTGTATACCAGCTGAACACGAAAAGTGAGGGGAAAACGTCTTTGCGCAGCAAATGTACTTCCCGCCCAGCATCTGCGCTAAAGGTGAGCTTATCTCGTTGAAGGTGAGGTTTGAGGGAAACGCAATACAACATATTTTAAGCTGTAAAAATTTAATGTGAACGATGTCCAAAACATTTAACTAACATTAGGCTGCGTTCGTACCTTGCGTCTCGGGAAGGTGTTTTCAGCGATATGCAAGTTCAGGTATCGATTGGTATGGCATTTCTCCGAAACGGGTATATGACAGGAGGATCGTAATTCACCGCGCTGGGGGCGTCGCGTGCGACGTCGCGCCCGCAAATGACGATGGTTCCAGGTAGTAGATGGCGACAACAGGCAATTCAGAACCGAAAATAGTCATGAATGTCTACGATGACGGGGTCTACATGAAGTCCGGTGCTCCAATCGACAGGTTAACACGAGTTAAAAACGCCGCGCCCGTCGCCGCGCGCAGTGGAGCGAGAAGTTACGACTCTCTTGCTCCCCCTCCCCTCCCCCAATCCTCCAAAAAACGCCAATTCTTCGATAACACTGATCCCCCAAAACGGTAGTGCCCGGCGCCGATCGACCCCTGTACTATCCTTTTCGATCAAAACGCCTACTCTTCCAGAACGCTGGTTCTCCCGAAACGCTGATTCTCTCGAAACGCCATATCGATACCTGTACACTTTCTTTTATGCGCATTTTAAAAAAAACGTCGATTCTCCAGATTCGCAAAGTACGAACGCAGCCTTACTGAAACGATCTGTAAACGTGACTGTCCTAGGAAAGTCAATCTGAAAGCTTAATTCATTGACACGCGAAACGAGAAAAGAAGAACGAATATTACAATTCAGCACGCTTTTGATATATTGAGTCATGTCTGTCATCAGATCACGTACTCGTTGGGGATCCTCAGCAAGGGGTCCGTAGTATTTAGTCGCTTTAGGAAGCAGTCGTATTTGCCTTGAACAAGATGTTTTCCTCTGTTGACTTTTCTTCGTTTTTTTTCTGTTTCAAGTGCTCTATTTATGCCCATTCCCTCTCGATGGCAGTTTTTTTGCGAAAAAAACTGGGTGATTTCCCCGGAAAAAAGGAAGGGAGTTGGCAAAATCAGGATGATGCTAGGTAGGATGAGTGATGGGAAAAGGAAGGTTGTACCAGAGGGGCAACCGTGGGAGGGGTGCCGTATTTCCGTATTTTTATTTTGCTAAATTTTTCCTCGAGCGCAAGACGTACGTGGTCGTTATTCGCCAAGTTTTTATCTAAAACACTGTTCTGCGAGTGATGACATGGATATTGGCTTTTTTTGTTTATTTGTTCAAATTCCATTAGTTCTTGCTATAGCGTTTACTCATAGATTGTTGGAAATTGTCTGTATATGACGACCGCAGATTTTGAGCTGTGGCGGGTTTCAATCAAAGATGGAGAATCGGTTCGAGTATTGGAGCAAAGTAAGTACCGTGAAGTATTAGGTTGGCGGGAAAGTTCAGTCATACTTTTTTGAACCCAAAATACTTGCCCATTACCTGAAGAGGGTTAACCGGTAATGTGAGCAGTTATACATCAAGGAATGGTCTTTCTATTAGTATCACTGGCTTGACTCCTGCTCCTCCTTATTCTGCAATAAGGACAAGAATGTTATCCCCTACCAGCGGGCGCCTACAGTTTGAATGACGACGTGAGGTTTGGGTGTACATGTGAACTCAGCTTGAGAGAACTACGTGTCATTAAACTGCTGGATGAAGAAGCTGCTTCCGCGATCAATCCATACGCAAAGCAGCTACGAGATCCGAAGCGAA